GGGGTTACGTATTGCCTATTTTAGATTATTTTTACATGTACCAAATTTTAAAGAGTACAGATACTAATATAGTCGATATAGTTTGTTTATTTCTTATTAAAAATAAATAAAAACTGTTAAATATTTGTTAAAGAGGACCAGTTAATATGATTCCAGTATTCAAACTACATTAATTGACTGTTTGCGTTGATTAATAATAAGCTCCAAATACTTAAAAAATCGAATTATGTATGTGAATTAGAGAGTGTGGTAAAAAGTAACACCTTTAAAATGATATTTAATTTTTGACAAATGCTTATTTATACCAACAGAGACGTTCTATTTCATAACTTATTAATATATTGATTTCTGATTCAAATCCATTTATTTAGAATAATTTATTAACGAACACAATTAAGTATAGTAATTAAGGAAATAATGGTGGCATATTTAATTAATGGTATACTCTTTATAAAGATTTAAATAGTTTTTCTTTTGCATACAAATGGGCTAGTAATATTTAGTATTACTAGCCTGTACATTTTGTACATTTGTTGTTTTAAAAACAATTTAAAATGTCAATATTCCATGGGTATATTGATAAACAGGTCTAAATTATAAGAAATGCATATTCTACGAAAACTTGAAGGAATAGGTAAAAATGGTATAATGCAATTTGATAGACAATTAAATTGTGCATCTGATTCTTGTAAAACATAAATAGGTGTTCTATTTAAATTAAATAAGTTATTGCCGTTTAAAGCTTAGTAATTATTTAAAATAAATTTCTAGACACCTGTATAAGGTAGTATATGTATTATTGCAACACAATAACTGACCACAACAAACTTCAGTAAATATTTAGTATTAAAAACTTTGATATCCTCGGAGAAATGAAGCCTTTAAAATTATACTGCAATTTCGCAAAATTGAAAATATTTCAAAAACGGTAAGGTTTAAGTGTAATAAACCTTAATCAAATTTACCTTTATTTTAATCATAGAAACTAAAAATGCAATAATATACAGGGTGTTCCATTTAAAAAAATACAACTTTTATATTTTTTATTTATTTGGGACACTCTGTAGCTCTAATAGTCCTTCAACGAACCCAAAACTTACAATTTGTAAAAATCTCATCGTTTAGCTACAATACTCCGTGTCGTATGTGGTGAACAACCCTGTATATTGGTAAAGTTGTATATTATATTAAAAGTAAGAAAATACAAATTTAATATATTAGAAAAATAAAATAAAAAAAAAAAAAAAAAAACAAATAAAACATAAAAAATATATAAAAAATGACAACATTTATTTGTACTTAACATTTTCTTTAGGACTCACACACACACACAAAAAATAAAACACTAGAATACACGTCATAAGTTTACTACATTTTGATCAATTGGAAAATTTGCCTTCCCTTTCAGAACTGACTTCTGTACGTGCTAAAATAAAAAAAAAACATTTTTAATCTTGTAATTTTTAGTAATATATAAGGTGTTTGTAATATTAATACCTTCGCAAATCTATCGCATATTATTTTATCAGCCTCACGAAGACGTCTACCATATTTATCCACATTTTTCTGTTTAACTTCCGGTAATTTCCTGTAATTTCTTTTGGTACTTCCCTTTCATTTCTTTTTCAGTATATAGCTTCACATTACCTAAAAAATAAACACTTTCTGTATACAGGATGTGTCATAATTAAATTTAAAAAAATCATACTGTTATTTCTATGTTGTTTGTCCTCTAAAAAGTTCATTTTTAAGGCGTCTTTTTTTTGCTCCCTCTGTATTCTGGAGTTCAGCATGAGCTGTCGTCTGTATTCTGCAGAATATATGAATTCTGGCCGGTTTTCTATTAGGTAGTCCTTAAAAAAAATATAATAAACTAATAAATGCCAGAGGTATAACACTTTATTATCAATAATTTTCCATAAAATATCTTAAATATTTTATCCTATTTAGGGAACACCCTGTCTACTGAATAAACCAACCTTTAAAGCATACTGTCGTTTATTTTCATCATCTTGAAGTCCATTATGTTTCTTCAAACTCCCGTTTCTATTCTTTTCATGACTGTTTCTTCTGTCTTTCGATTTTTTTGATTTTTCAACTTTGGGAACTTGAACTCTGACCTCCTCAGAAAATCTTCCTTTATTTTCCATCAGTTTTTTTCTATCATTTCCAATTCATTTTTTCCTCTAAAATCAACGTATATGCAGTTCCATGTCTCTGTTTCTTCACAGTTTCAAGCAACTTTTCTCTGCACCTTTTGCAATATGTTTTGGACTTTTGAAACATTGCCCTGTTGTTATTATAGTAATTATTGTTATTATAGGCTTGGTTATGATAAAAGCAACTCCACATTGGATGGGTTTGGTAAGCTTGGTTATTATATCCTTTACAGCAACATAGAGACGGGTTATTTTTGGACAAAGTAGCTTGGATCTCATCCTGAGTCAATTTTCTGCCACAACAAGCACAATTGTTCTGTGTGGATTGTAGTGTTAAAGGTCCATGATCAAGAATAGATGTTGGGATACTTACAGCTGAAGAACAGAAAGAAAACATTAATGAATTTTTAAACAGAAGAGTAGTATGAAAAATTTCCGATTTCACCCTGTATACAGCAAACATCCATGCAATAAATTACAGGGTGCGGCAATAATGAGTCGGGTAGTCTCTACAAAAAAAATATGAGAATTTTGCTTATGCAACCAAAGGATATATTTCAGGGAAATATTTTAACTTCTATAGGGTGGCTCAAAAAAGTGTGAGTGGATCGGGATGATTTTTTAAATGGAACACCCTGTATGTTATTGCATTTTTAGCTTCCTTTCAGATCACTTAACCATAATCCCCTAAGACATGAATAAATATATTTCCATAGTTTCAGAGATATAGTCTGTAAAACGAATAACTTTGAATTTGACAGTTCCCGCGGGCTTTTCTAGTGTTAATTTTATTAGGTTAGCAATCAGGCCATAAAAGAGCATTGTCTTAATAGAACAGTTGAGCGATATGACGTCGCTGCTAGCACATGATTAGTCATGTTAACAGTCACATTATTCCTCGTATTTTTGGTTTGTATTTCAAAAATGATATAGTTTACATAAAATATACATAATATACAGTTAATAATACAATATATATATATATATATATATATATATATATATATATATATATATATATATATATATATATATATATATATATATATATATATATATATATATATATATATATATATATTATATATATATATATATATATATATATATATATATATATACTTGTTTATAGTAATAAATACTTTGGCAGATAAATTATGAACCATACAAATGCAGCAAATGTTTCACAATATGGCTGAAATCGTAATCCATAGTCAATGTAGATAGTTTTTGTGTTAAAAGTAATAATTTAAAAAATATGTGGTCATCTTTGACAAGCATTAGTTTATTAATTGCAGTAACATTATAATATATAAATAAATTTTGTGAATGCAAATAATAATACATACATCACTATTAGTAGATATTGAATGTTGTTTGTTAAATTAGATCGATTTTAAACCCCAAAATTCTAAAATATATTTTACATTTTACCCATTATCTTATGTATCACCTATTCATTATTTGTATATTGTGTAAACATTTGTTGCATTTTGTATGGTTTATAGTTTATTTTGCCAAAGTATTTATTACTATAAATAGGTATATATTATATTGTATTTATTAGCTGTATGTTATGTATATTTCAGGTAAACTATATCATTTTTAAACACAAACCAAAATACGAGGAATAATTATAAGTTTTATGTATTCTACAACATATTTATTAATCCGTGTATCTAACTACCGTGACGTCATAAATCTTTCGCTTCGTGGCTGTTCTATTAGAGACGGCATTGGTCTAATATTTAGAAATGTCAAAAGCTGATGACATTTTACTTTGTCAATTGGTGACATTTCGAGTTGATTTTTGAAAAAGAGGGAAGAACTGTCACTTGTTTTATTATTTTTTCTATTTCTAATAGAAAGTAAAAAGAGTTACCTATCTGATTCGCTCAGGCACTCAATTTAAAGAATATCAGTAACTTTTTTGATAGAGGGATTTTATATTTGCCAAGTTGGTAAAAAATAACGGTCAAAATTCAAAGTTATTCATTTTATAGACTATATTAATAAATAAATAAAATAAATAAATATATATTTTTCAGCCTTTCTTAAAAAAAATTATTCAAAATACAAGAACTGTCCTGAAATCGAACTATATTAGGTAATTAGTTTAGATGGTTTGTACTTACTTTGCTATAAATATGGTCATCGTAAATCATACAGGATGTTCAAAATAAAACTTTCTAAAATATAAAATAATATTTCTTCGTTTTTTTTAAAATGGAAACACCCTGTATATAATTTTTTCAATAGATGGAAAATTAAAAAACGAACATTTTTGTATTTAGAGTATTTCAAAATTTTTAACGGTTTCGTAGATATTCGCGGTTTTATATTTCATATGGCATTTTCCACAGTAAATTTTGATCAAAGCCACCCAATGGTTTTTCTCTTATTTTACCGTTGAAAGAGCCATATGAAATAATACTGGGTGTATCTGCCAAACCATTAAAAATTTTGAAATACTTTAAATACAAAAAATGTTCTTTTTTAACTTTCCATCTAAAAAAAAAGAAAAATTATATTTTAAAAAGTTTGGTGTAGAATTTTGTACACCATGTATGATTTAAGATTACGATATTTATAGCAAAGTAAGTATAGACCATCTAAAGTAAATATGTACCTAATATAGTTTTGATTTTAGGAAAGTTCTTGTATTTTTAATAATTTTTTTTAAGGAAGGTTAAAAAATATATATTTTTTACTTATTTATTAATACCTCTAAATTGTCCAAATATATTTACTCATATCTTAGTATTATGTAAAGTGATCTAAAAGGAAACCAAAAATGCAATAATATACAGGGCGTTCCATTTAAAAAAAAATCATCCCAATCCACTCACACTTTTCTGAGCCATCCTATAGAATTACAGTTGAGGGTTGGAACCTTTGGTGTTACACAGCAAAATAAAACACTAAATCACCACAATACACCAATACACTTTTAACACTGGTCGCGCGTTTCGCTAACCATGTTAGCATCATCAGCAGATGATTAAAAACTAAAATACAATCTAGAAGCAAACTAGAAGATCAATATTAACTAGATTTAAAGAACATTTAGCTCAGATAAGATATGGTAGACTGGATAAATCTTGCGTTGCCGAACATATTGTTGATAAAGAACATTGTATAGATCTTAATAATTTAAAATTAATTAAACAAGTCTCAAATTACAGGCATTTATATGCACATGAAAGCATCAGAATTAATAAATGTAAAGATAGTATGAACAGAGACAACGGTCCAATTCCTTCAAGTTCTTTGTTCCTACTACTCTAGTAGCGGAAATCTAACTGTTACGCTCGGTGGGCTCTGACTCGGTTTGCTAGATCTTGCTACGCCCACTCGGTGCCCACTGAGTGAGTATATGTATAAACGCTCAAATTGTAGATTGTATTATAGTTTTTAATCATCTGCTGATGATGCTAACATGGTTAGCGAAACGCGCGTCCAGTGTAAAAGTAAAAGTGTTTTGGTGTATTGTGGTGATTTAGTGTTTTATTTTGCCATCCTATAGAAGTTAAAATATTTTCCTGAAATACATGTTTGCACTTATTCAAAATTCCAAAGTTTTTATTCTAGGAGCTACAGATGCCCAACGCACTATTGTCGGACCCTGTATATTATAAATAATAAAAGCTGAAGAAAATTATGTGTCACTAAACAATGAGTTATCTTACAATCCTGTGATTTCCATAGCAAACCTAATGATTTACGTTTAAACTATATTAGGTCACCCTCCATATTTGCCAGATTTAGCTCCCAGAGAAATATTATTGGTGTGATTTCACAAGATTTTGTAGAAAAATAATAAAAAAAATCAAAAAAAAATGTTGTGTTATCATTGTGAAGTCGGCAACTTTTAAACTACCCCCCTCCTAAATAAAACATCAATTTTCTTACTAGTGCTACCCATTTGTGAATACATAGCAGATGTTTCATCATCACTCCCTGATTTTTCTTCACTATCACCGGACTTTCCAAATGTACCAGAATCCTTAGACTGCTTTTAAGCTTCTGCAAACTGTTTTTATTTATCTGAACGCTCCTTGTGGAATTTTGGATCATCTGTGTACCATTATTAACCATTTTTCAGTGGATCTAGCAGGCGCACCGGCATCCTTTATAAGCATGTTTTACAGTTTCAACACTTCTTGAAGTGCGTTGGCCTCTATTTTGGGACATATGTAAAACCAATATTAACCATATTCTCACTAAACATACCAACATCCTCGGTAGCTTGTTTTATAGTTTCAACACCTCTCGAGGCGCATTGGCACCTACTTTGGGACATCTGTATACCACTATTAACCATGTTTTCGCTAAACCCAGCAGGAACACCAGTATTTTTAGAAGTTTGTTTTTCAGTTTCAGTGTTTCTATTAACTGAGTTATCTATATCAATTTGAACACTTCTTGGAGAACTCTTCACTGTCCCTGTACTATTAACACCAAACTCTCTAACAAGTGCTTCCTCAGTTTGAATCTTTCTATCAATTGAATCACTTCTTAATCCCCTCAAACCTTCATGATCTATTTGAACACATTTTGAGTAACATTGGCATTTACTTTGGAACATCTGTGTACCACTATTAACCATTTTATCACTGAACATAGTAGGTACACCAACATCTTTAGAAGCTTGTTTTTCTGTTCTTGTTCCTGTACTATTAACACCAAATTCTCTGACAAAAGCCTCCTCAGTCTGAATCTTCCTATCAATTGAATCATTTCCTGATCTCTTCAAAAGATCATTATCTATTTGAACAAATTTTGAACAACATACATGGCATCTGTCTGTTTGAATAATTTTATCACCTTTAGAAGTACTATCTGTTCTTTTTTGGGCTTGTTTAATATTATCAATGGATCTGCTTACTGAATCAGCTATTGCTTCTATTTTCTCATCAAATTTCAGACTTGGCGAGCCATTTTTTTCACCTTTAAAAGTGTCCTTCACATCTTCATAGTTCAAAGCTTTTGAATCAAATTCCTTTTTAGCATTATTAAAGAGCAATTGACCATTTGAACTAGATTTACTAGGAAATCTTTCTGAATTGCTTTCAGCATTCTTTCTGAATCTCTCTAATAAACTTTCTTCATCTATTTGAACATTTTTTGAGGCACATTGTAGCATCTCTGTACCACTATTAGCCATTGTATCATCAACTGAATTATTTATACCAATTTGAACATTTTTTGAAGAACCTTTAATTGTCCTTGTACTATTAACACCAAAATCTCTGACAAGTGACTCAGTCTGAATCTCCTTATCACTTGAATCACTTCCCAATCTCTTCAATATTTCATTATCAATTTGAACAAATTTTGATTTACTATCTGTTTTGTTCTGTGCTTGTTTAATATTATCAATGGATCTACTAACTGTATCAGCTATTGCTTCTATTTTCTCCTCAAACTGAAGACTTCTTGCACCATTTTTTTCACCTTTGGAAGGATCTTTTACATCTTCATAGTTCAAAGCTTTTGAATCAAATTCTTTTTTGGCATTATTGAAAAGCAATTGACCATTTGAATTACTAGTTTTACTAAGAAACCTTTCTGTATTGCTTTCAACATTAGTTCTGAATCTCTCTAATAAACGTTTTTTATCTATTTGAACATTTTTTGATGCACTTTGGTATCTATTTTGGAGCATCTCTGTACCACTATTAACCATTTTATCACTTTAAACATAGTAGGTCCAATTCAGTATCTTTAGAAGCTTGTTTTTCAGTTTTAATGTTTGTATTAGATGGATCATTTATACCAATTTGGATACTTTTTGAAGAACTTCTAAATGTCCCTGTACTATTAACGCCAAAGCCTCTGACAAGTTCCTCTTCAGTCTGAATTTTCTTATCAATTGAATCACTTCTCAATCTTTTTAAACTTTCATAATCAATTTGAACACTTTTTGAAGCACATTTGCATCTGTTTGTTTGAATCATTTTATCGCCATTTTTTTGGTTCTTTAAACTACTTTTTTTAGAAACACATTTATTCACGTCCCCTACACCATTCTTATGTTCTTCATTGGTCATTTTATCTACAGATTTTCCATTATCTTCATTTATTTGTATCAAACTCTTCAAATATTGGACTTGTTTGTCCAAAGAATCAACTTTACTTTGTACTTCCTTACATATTTTAACAGGAACGCTTTCTTTTACTTGTATACCTACACTACTTGAAGGTCTAGGAGTATAAAACATTTCTTTGGATTGTGAGAAATGTTTGGCGAGCTTTTCAACAAATGGGCAGGTACATTTTGAATTGGTAGCATGAGTACAGTTACAATTCTGAAATGCTTTCTCTAAAGAGTTTGATTTTTTTTCATCAAAATCTTCAGCTAAAAATTCAGACTCATTTTTTCCGCTATATTCATTCTTAGCTTTATTTCTATGAGATTCAGGTTTCTCTAAAGAACCTCTGTTTTTTGGTTCTCCTAAAGATTCAGGCTTGCATATACAGATAATCTGCTTACAAACACTACAAATAGTGCTTACTTTTATGTTAGTACTGCTTGTTTTTGAATCTACCGTGATATCAGCTATAACAGAACTTTTAGATACTTTACTAGAGTCGTCACAATGCGCTACAGTGAATTTTTGACCATCTATAAAATATTTAACGTTTGCACCTGGGGGAATCCCTTGATCAGTCTCAATAATATATTCTCTCTCTAATTCTTTATTAGTTTTTTCATCTTTTCCTAATATTTTGTATTTTGAAGATTTCTTCTTGGTTTCTTTCTCACTTCCGCTGTTGTTTTTAGCTTCAAGAAATCTTTTAAGCTTGGATAAATGTGAAATTTCATTATCAATCCATGCTATCTGATATAACCTTTCATTTTCAGTGAACTGTAGTAAATAATCTCCATTGGAGTTTGATTTAGATTGTTTTTTAACTATACGTTCAGGCTCAGTAGAATCAGTGTTAGTTTTACTTGATTTTACTTGTACAGGATCTCTTGGAAGACTGGCTTCATTATTACTGTTTGATGGACTTGAAGATCTTTCCTGGCTAGACTCACTAGAGAACATAATCTTTTTAATAACCTTCTTTATATAGTCCTTGTTTTTAATAACTTTGTCCCTTTTAGAAGACAAAAATACTTGTAAAAGATCAACCACTTTATCCATGTCCTCTCTACTATCACTTGTTTGAGATTTAGAAGATCCTGATGACATTTCTTTTACAGAACACCCTGAAGATTTCCCTAAGCTAGAGTCTTTTTTGTGAACGTTACATTGGGCTTGGGAAGACTGTAAAGAAACAAGATTACTACTGATATACTCAAAACTATCACAACTTGAACCTTCCGGTTCACTGGTCTCACTGTCTGAATCTAATTTTTCTGTTTGTATAGCTATTTCTTCTGCATTTTTATCATATAGACAGTCAAGAGTGAGTGGAGTCGACATAGTAAGCTGAACTACTTTTTGATTAGTTCTTTTTACACTAGTTTCTTCCTGGGTACTTTCTTTATCAGTTTTTTTAATTGGTTCTTTTTTCTGTTTCTTTATAGCACCTTTGGAAACATCAGACATTTTAGTGTCTTCAATTTTTACGTCACCTGATGAAGATTTCTTAGTTCTCTCCTGGTCTATGTTCCCCTGATTTGAATCAGTATTACAACAAACATTAGATATTTTTTCCTCATCTACTGCACTAAGAACTATAGTTTGGTGACTCTTTATGTATTCTCTAGAGCTTGTTTTTGGTGTAGTATATATGTTTTCACCATGCACAGGTTCTGGAAGTACTGGAAATACTGGTGTGGAAAATGCAACAGGTAACCCAATTTTTTTCTTCAAACTTGACAAACTAACTCCAAAATTTATAATTTTATTTTCTTCCTCAGATGAACTTGTACTAGGAATTGGAGAAGATTTTGTTTTAGCACTACTAGAACTCTCACTAGAAGGTTTCTCTATCTGTGCATGCTCTATCGACTCATCTGAACTGCTTGTTGATCCGAAAAGTAATATTTTGACATTTTCTGAAGGCGATAAGTCAAAATGGACTTCTTTAGAGCATAATTTTGAAGGTAGTGAGTTACTTCTTTGCAAAGTACTAGCTTTAACAAAATCCTGAGACTCTTTTATGTCAATTGCATCACTGCTACTATGTACGGATCGGCTTGAGCCTTTCGAAGTACTTGGTCCCTCTAGTGATTGCAATTTCTTAGCGCTAGAAATGTCTGTGGTACTGCTTTCGGTAATAATTATTTTAGGAATATTGATGGCTAATGCTGGAGTTTCTTCATCAGAAATTGGTGCATATGTGATGGTGGTTGAAGTTCCAGAGAAATACTTTTGAAGATGGGGGTTTTGGGAGTATTTTTTGTAATATTCTAACACTTGTTTTGTTGATGAATCTTCATCTGAATTACTCATAACTATACAACACTGTTACCTATAATATTAACAGGATATTATTTACATTTACTCTTTCATGACAATGTTTATAATGCCAAATTAATTGATTATTAAAATGTTAACAGTTTTATAAATTTACCTGTGTAGATATAGATAAAAAATATATATGATTAAAAGTATTAATAAAGTAAGATGTTTTATTTCCAAATATTATAGTCGTACTTACCAGTCATGTATTTTTAAATAAAAATAACTGCTACTCAATATTCAAAATACAAATTTGAACCCCACTTAATTTTGTTTACATTTGATGAAAACACTAAAGGCCGATTCACATAGATTAAATACGAAGTTTCCGTTTTTATTAATTTCTAGAAAATTTGTATTAACATCAAAAACAGATCATGAAGAATAAAATTATGTAGAGGTAAAAATTACTGCTTACTCTATTTATTATATAGATAAATATTTATTAGTTATTTGAATTTATTTAAAAAGCAGAAAAAGAAATGAGACAGTCTTTCTGAATCAACCTTTATTTTCTAGAAATCTACAATCTTCAACCAAAATTATAAAAACTGTAAACTGATAGTATGGCTACTAGTCCATAGATGGCGCCAAGGAAAATAAATATCTTAATAATAAAAAACTTAAATTTATTTTTTTATTAATTCAATACTTTATTCGATTACAAACTAACAAAAACTTATTTATAATTCACCTGGAGGAAAATAAGGTCTAGGTTTACGCGCAGAATACGCAAAATCTTCCCTTTTATGATAAGGTTCATAAGGATCATCAACATAATATTTAGGTTTTCTCCAATAACTACCAACCATTTTATCCAGAAGATAGCTTTGGGTAGCGTTACAAAACACGTGCTGTCTCAATCTTCGCCTCCTTGAGGCCCTTTTCTTCCACAGTCTCTTGTGACGACCACACTTTGTCCTGATCCATATACCCCAATCTAGCCTGTAAAATCTCTTAATTACAGCTTTGTTCGCCTTTCTTCTACCTTTTCTTATAGAGAATTTTGTAAGGGTCTTCGTATCGACCAGGTTTATTCTGTTCTTGATTAGTTGAGGCTCATTTAAAAGGGTATTATTCGGCTTGGTGTGGAGTACTGAGAAATGCTTTCGGATGACTTGTTGTACTAAACTAGGCTGGTATACGTTCTTGAATAATTTTCTTGCTGTTAGAACTGACGTGGCACGGCATTTTGCGGCTAAAAATAAAGAGTTTTATTAATTTTTAAATAATTAAAAATTGATATATATTTTGTCTTTTTTAAACTTGAAAGTTAGAAAAGAACAGATATAGTGCAGTGACAGTTCGCTGCCAACCCAAAAGTAAACTCCCCAGAATCTAACCTAGAAATTCGAACCGAGAAACAAAAGCTCTCAAATATTTGACAACTTTAAAGAGAAACTTTAGAAAACTATAAAAACAACAAGCCCACAAATTCCGGAGGTATTTGACAAAATTTCCGTGCAAAAATACTTCCTGAGCAATACGTAACTGAAATCAGCGTTCGAAACATCCTCCAGTTCGAAGTTCACGAGTTTTGACTTTTCCACCAGGGTCGGTATCGTCACCAATCGTCAAGAAACAGAATTTTCCGATCTTTTTCAAAATTCCGCTCCCAAAACCCGCGGTGGTTCTACCAGAGAATGTTGATGTTGAAAGTGGTCCGTAAACTCCTAATCAGAAGAGCAGCATGGGCAAGTCTCACACAAATTAATTTTTTTTAAAACTTAATTGCTGTTATGTCATCTCTATTTACATCTAAAAAAAACTTTTTACCGTTTTTTAGAACTTACTAAATTTAGCAATACGTAACTGAACGAAGTACAGAT